ATCCGTGAAACTCCTGGACCACGCTTCACACGTCAGGACACAGTAGATAAGGAAGTCTCAAGCGAGAGCCCATTGTTGAAAGGGTGCCGCCACCTATCCAGGCTGTAGACTGTTCCTATGATGGCAAATGTGCGCGACGCTTGAGCGAGAGCAACGTTTTGGAAACGCACCAGGCTTCACTTGTTCAACAGCTGGACACGTGCAGAACGAATGTGCGCGGCGAAATGGCAAGAGCCACGTGCGAGTCAACAGATGAAAGGGCCTGGCGAACCTGGAGAGAGGAGGAGGGGGAGGAAGAAGGACGAGGAGGAAAGAGAAGGACATGAAGGAGGGAGGAGGGAGGGAGAACGAGAGATCGAGGAAAGCAGGGACGGGGCCTCCGAGGCACATCGCCCCCCCCACCCCTGAAGTGCCCACGGGATGCGCCCCGGCTGCGCGCTCCGAGGAGGCGGCCTCATGGTGCTTGACGTGCTCTGAGTGTCTAGTAGACTTCTCTGGCGGCGCGCAAAAGGGGGTAGGGGGAGGGGGGAAGGCTTCTTAGAAACACCCTGCTTCTTAGAAGGCCTCGGCCTTACGTCTGTAGAGAGGGCCCGCGCCTTCTAAGAGGCAGGGGTGCTTCTGAGAAGCCTCCCCCCCTCCCCCTACCCCCCTCTGCGCGTGGCTTACTTCTGTGGGGTCTCGGCCAGTCCTCAGCTCGCCCGCTATTTCGAAACCCAGGTCGCCCCTGGCTCGCCTTCAACTTGCTCCAGATTCACCGGGCACTCACTTGCAGCTTGCCTGTTTGCTGCAGTCCATGTCCGTTTGCCCCATCCGGCTTGATTGTTGCTTGCCTCCAGATTCCCGATGCATGTTGACAGTATGTTGCCTCTAGCTTGTCTTACTGTATCCAGCATGTTGTACGTTGCAGTCAGCTTGACCCCAGAGTGATCGCAACTTGCAGTAGATGCACCTTTAGCCTGCCGTGACCATGCATAATTTTCGGGGTGTTTGCTTGTAGCTCGTTGTTGTATGGTTTCGTTTGCCATGGCCACTTGTTCTCAGATGCTTCGAAGTTGCTTAGCACCTCTCGCCAGAAGGACTCCTCCAGCTGAGGCTACACCCGTCTCATGATGAGAAATGAATAAACGCAGTGCCGCGCGATGTCATGCAATGCGATGTTCAGAGATATGATAGCGCTGGCATTGCATGGCGCTCGAGCTAGGCGCCCATCTGTATAGGCTGGGAGGGAGCTCATGGGCAAAGCTGGATGGGGAGAGGAGGCGGGTTCGTGGGGCGGCGGGGACGAAGATGAGCCAGAGAGAGCGAGAGAGAACAACGGCTTTCACCTCTTGCGCTTCGCGCTAGCACTAGATGCCGCGTCTGGCCTCACTTCTTCTTCAGAGCCTTCTTGACCTCTCTCCCGCAGAGGCGGACTAGCAGGGAGAGAACGAGAAGGAGGGAAGGGAAGGAGATAATGAACAGGGAGATAGAGGGAGAGGGAGACGGAGATATGGAGGACGAGGAGGAGGAAGAAGGAAAGAGGGAGGAGGAGCAGCAGCAGCAGCAGCAGGATGCGGAAGACGAGGGCACCGCAAAGGGGGGAAGGATGAAGAGGTTTGATGAGTGGGGCAAGGCGGAGAAGAGAGGGCGGAAGAGGAGACGACTAAGAAGAGACGAGAAGGGAGAAGGAATCCGCCGATCCGGCGTGCGAGTTTCTGAGAGCGTGGGCTTGAGCTCGCTCAAGCTTCGCTCTGCAAGGGGGGGGGGACGCAAAGGACGAAGGAATTGACACGCAAGGCCTCCCCAATGCCGGGACAGCCGCCCCCCCTGCACCTTCCTCTCCGGCGCCCCCCCCCTCTCTTCCTGCACCCCCCCTTCCCCTGCAATCTCCTCTCCGCCCCCCCCCCCCTCTTCTGCACCTCCTGCACCCCCTCCGCCTCTGC